GTTGTAGTTTCTATAATAAGCCAGTTTTTAAGTGAGTAGTTTGTTAGTCTACTGCACAACCCCCATCCTGGAGAGCGAAGGTGTGTCTTTCGTCTGGCTCCTAATCCACAGACCTGTTGAGCTTGGTTCGGCCTGCTAAGGGCCGAAGCCCCCGCCTGCATAGTTCTGGGTGTCGTCGAAGCACGGAAGCCGTCTTACCACGTCAAAGCGACATACTATCAGGACGGAAAAGTCTTAACCAAGTGTTCATTAAATGTTCAATTCTAAAAATCTCCAGATTTGATCGGAAATTTCAGAAAGTTGTCCATACTTTTCAAGTGTCAAGTTCTGTCAAGGAAAAAAATATGGCATAAAGAAAAAACAAGTCTAGATAATTTCTTTTAGACAACCCGTACAATTATTATAACAATATACTGTGACCTAAGAAACGTTTTTAGCCAGGAGAAATAAGCTACATCCAATTTCAAAATTTAATTATGTAATCCCTATTCAATATAAATAAACAGTATTTGGAACTAGTATAGAGTAGGTCCTCCATTTGCTAGTTTCAGTGCTTGTATTCGATTCTTCATGATTTTGATCAAGTTATCAACAATCGTCTGAGCCATATTTTGCCACTCCTTTAGCAATGTTTCTTTAAGGGTTGCCACTGATGTGATTTTGGTTGCACGCTCTCAAAGTTTTGGACAAGGTGTTCCCAAACATGCTGCATTGAAATCATGTCAGGACTTTGGGCTACACATGGCAGTGATTTGATTCCTTACGATTCATTGCCTTTGCTACTTTACTTGTATTTACAAGGCGGTCGATCTTCTTCAAAAAGGTAGACATTCTTGTCAATTTGATTGGTTTCAAATATTGGGAGTAGTCTTTACTCTAATATGTGACAGTATTTTGGACCATTCAAACTATCATCAAAAAGAATCAGCTCAGATTTCCCTCCAAACTAGACAGCGCCCCACACCATTACTCCAATTCCTCCATGTTTCACGGTCGCCTGCGGACATTCAGTGTTCCAAGTCTCATTCTGATTTCTCCAATCATAAACCTGTCTCGAATTCGAATATTGGCAGAATTTAGTTTCATCTGATAAAAATTAGACTGCCAAAATTCATAATCTTTGCTCTCGAATTCTCTCGCCCAGTCCATACGAAGGTTCCTGTTAACCTCTGAAATCAAGGGCTTCTTTCTTGCAACTCTTCTTTGATAGCCTAGCTTTTTTAGAGTCTTTCTCACCGCATATGACTATATTTCCATACTGTTGGTGACATCTTTGACACTCTGACAACAGTTTCTGATGACTTCCCTCTTCAGCACCCTTTTCATTCACTCAGACACGATGCTTGGTCTTCCTGAACGCTGTTCCACACGACAATGTCCTTCCTCATTAAATTTCTTGACAATATTATTAACCGTTTGGTGATTAGCCTGAAAAGAACTTAGCAATTTCTCTATTTGACTTGACACACTGATGACATCCTATTATTTGACCTCGTTGAAAATCACGAATTTCCTTACTTCCGCGAATTTTAATTGCAAAATATAAGTCACCTATCAGTCCTAGATGAGAGTAGCTTGATACTAACATGGTATTGTCGGAAAAAAAGAGACGTTATTACACAAGTCAAAATTGCTGTAAATAAAGGTGGCTAAAAACTTATATCCCACTATAGAGAATCAACTTTTGAATTCAAAGTTGTTTTTCTGCTAGACCAGTTACCACCCAAGTCTATAGAACCCAGTCTGTTCCTTTATTTACCAATAGCTGGGGGCGAGGGGAGAAGAAGAGGATACATACCTTTCCCAAAGGTATGTACATAAGTGAATGTAATGGAATCCACTGGAATTCGAACTCGGCTCTCCGATTTCTCAATACATTACTACATCATGTCTCCACGTCTTAATCTTTTGATTTCTCTCACATTTTTTGGTATTTGTCATTACATTACTCATATAATTATATGTCTGCCCTTTCTTGATTAAGACGTCTCCGATTCAAGGCTCCCATTTTTGGTTGTCTTTATTGCTGACGATCATATACTCATCCTTCTTTTTATGTGCCGTGTCCATTCAGGACGTAAGCGATCATGGCTCTCCACTTCCCCCTATCCCTTATCTCAATAATTTTGTCTCTTTGCTACTTTACCCAGGCCCTGTTCTATCATCCAATCCCTTATGCGCGCGTTTCATTCTCTTGTCTCTCTTTCCCTCTATTCGACCTTTGAGTATCAGATTCTCCAAGCCGTCCTTTCTCATTATGTGTCCCAGAAATTTCCGCTGCCTCTTCCAGGTGTTAATTATAAGCTTCCTCCCTGTTTGCATCCTCTCATCGTTGCTCGCACGCTCGGTCCATGATATACTTAGCATCCTTCTGTAGAACCATATCTCCGCCGCCTCGATTCTCTTCTTCATCTCTGAGGAGACCGTCCAACATTCGCTGCCGTGAAGGAGGACATTTGTCACGTAGTAGCTCAGGACTCTTTTATTTGTTAGCAAATAAATTCTCTCGTCTCGTAATATTCTGTCTAGATTTTGGAATGCGTCTTTGGACATCTCAATACGTCTTCGGATGTCAGCGTTGCACTTGCCGACCTCTGTCAAAAACTTCCCAGGTATTTAAATTTCCGCAGATCTTTCTTCAAGCTTCCTTTACTACCTTTAGTTGGAGTTATTGCAATTTTACTTACTCCCCTGCCATGAGTATACTGTGATATACGTATCATATGTTCTTTTGACAAGTGTATTTTTGAAAGAAACGTGATGGACTAAAGAGGACATTTGATTAGTAAGCAACAATCAATTAAGAATTAAACATACTGCGTCTATCTATTTTAACAGATCCGCATGAGTTCTAGAACACATAGTTCAAAAGTCTTCTAGGGAAATACGATGACGCTCGATTGGTTGTTGCGGAGGAATTGGGTATGACATCCAACTACTTGGGGATTAAACTCTTTTCTATCTCCGGTAAGTCTCGAACTAAATATTATATATATATATATATATATATATATATATATATATATATATATATATATATATATATATATCAAGTGTAAATGGATATAATCTGACAGAATGAAAATTTTTGAAAAAAACAAACAAAATAAATGTAGTTAAATGAATTTAACTACATTTTGATTTTGTTTTTTTTCAAAATTTCTTCATATATATATATATATATATATATAGGCATTCACAGACAAAGTGTTTCGTGTTTCGCAGCTCTTCAGTGTGGCTAGATGCCCGTTTGCTTCAAAGCGAGATCAACACCCGACCGATCAGTCAGATATCCTACTCCTTGACTATCGTCGCACGCCAGAGAGGAAAAAGAAAATTTTAACGTTTTACTATGCGAAATAAATATATATATATATATATATATATATATATATATATATATATAGTTAAATTCCCAGATGAATTCTGTGGACAAGACAGATTGGTATCAAATGACAATTAGAAAAAAATCTTACATTTTGCCGACGCGTTTCGTCTTCCGACTTTTTCAAGGCAAAAATGAAATCGAAATGTTTTTGTTGTTATAGTTACATTAAAAAAACAAATTTAAAAAGATAGACGCTTCTGTCTAAGCCTTTTTTCTGGTTAATGTATATATATATAAATATGAGAGATAGATATAATTCAATTTTAAGTGAATTTAATAATTATTTTGTATTGGACAACTATTTAATTATAAATGTTATACGTTGAACATAACCATTATTAAGGAATTACTGTTATATTTAATAATCATACGTTATTTGGGTACAAGGCCATTAGTATATAGTTTCCAATGAAAATCGAATCACTTTACTACAAAGTTTTAAGAGAGTGGCTTGCTGAAAAACACCGAAAAGCACAACATTCAAGGCAAAACATTAGCGTTCGACTGGTGCAACTAGTACGATTCGAACGCAGTATCTATTTTCTACTAAACTAGTTCGCCTTCCTTTAGCCTAGGGCGAGGCGCCATAATATACATATCCGTACATGCCACAGAGACAGCGCTGCACCTGTGCTTCATCGATTTTACATTTTATTGCAGTTGCAAAGATCGGCCAATAATGAATGCGCATTTAAGTGTAGCAGTCAACAATTTTCGATTTGACCATTTTGGGGTAACAGACTTTCATTGACAATCGTTTAAAAAAGAAAAAAAAGACGACAAAAATACACAGTAGATATGATATTTCAATTAAAACAATATGAGCGCAGTTTGGCGAAAATAATTATTTAGACTTACGTTATATATATATATATATATATATATATATAAATATATATATATATATCTGTATCTACCATCTATCTATCTATCTATCTATCTATATATATATATATATATATATATATATATATATCTGTATCTACCATCTCTCTATCTATCTATCTACTTATCTATCTATCTATCTATCTATCTATCTATCTATCTATATATATATATATATATATATATATATATATATATATATATATATGTACATATGCATTGCTTAGGCATGTGTCATTAAATACTAACAAATATTTTCTATTGATAATCATTTACGGGATTCTTACCATTTCTCGTGTGACTTTTCGTGTGTTTCCAGTCCAGTTGGTGGAAGAGGGGCGTTTTCAATTGTCGTTAAACGTCGTCGGGGGTAGGGGTGGGGTTAATTTACATTACTTCCTGTGTGTTAAACAAAATGTATATACATATAAATATGCTTAGGCGTTAAGATATTGAACGAAATGTTCACACACACATATTTAGGCAGCAAGAGTTCATTCAAATAAGATTTTTAAATAAAAAGTACAATATATGCCGGTTTAATTATACTTATTTTATTTTTCCAGTTTGTATATGTGTCTGTGTATTTTCTCTGTGTGTGTGAGTGTGTGCGTGTGTTTGTGTCCATGCGTGTGTTTACGCTGTCTTTCTCTCGGTATGTTTCTGTGTGTGTGTGTTTCTCTGTGTTTCTCACTATGCGAGCGTGTGTTTCTATATCTGTGTGAAT